GGGAAAGAGAGAATCCCAAGCAGGCTCTGCATTGTCAGCAGGGAGCCTGATGCAGGGTTCGAACTCACAAACCATGAGATCATGACCTGAGCCAAGATCAAGAGTTGGACGCTTAACTTACTGAGCCATTCAGGTTCCCCCAAAAGAAGTTCATCTTTCTACAAACAACTACCAGAGACACAAAGATAATCAATTCATTTCTCTCAGCTACTAGGCCAAATGTTAAGTTTGTTTAAGAATTAACTGAGGAACTTGTCAGAAATATAGGTTGCCATGCTTCACACTTCAGTTGTTTTGATTCAGGGGGATTAATACAAGGCCCCAGAATCTGTATTTTAAAAACCACAAGTTTTTTCTAATGCATGCTATATTTAGATCATGCTTAGAAAAATAATGCTTTCCTCCCTGCATACCAGCAAACATATGTGTATATGTATTATTGTATATATACACACATATATAATATATACACGTTATACACTGCTATATATGTATACAGAAACTTACCATACATACAAAACACCCATATTAAATGTTCCACACACTTCTTATGAAAATGGGATCATACACACACACACACACACACACACACACACACACACACACACACACATATGTATGAGATATATATATATATATATATATGTGTGTGTGTGTGTGTGTGTATGACATGATTTTTTCAGGGAACATTATATAGTACAATCTTTCTGAATCACCACATACAGATCTGCATTGTTTTTAACAGCTACATTATATTCCACTATATGCAAGTACCAATATTTATCGAGTTCTCTATTATTGGTCATTTAGTTGTTTTGTTTTGTTTTTGCTATTATAAGCAATGCTGCAATGAATACCTTTACACATTTGTGCTAAAATTTCTGTAGAATATAAGGACTGGAATAGACACAGAAGAGTAGAATTGCTAGGTGGGAGGGTGTATGTATTTTAAAGTTGGATAGATCCTGCTGAATTGCTCAATGACTTAGTTGTATCAATTTACACTCCTGTGGCAAATTAGCCGAAGATTGTTTTCCCCACACCTATACCAATACCAGTGTCAATCTCTCTCATTTTTATCTATCTGACACATAAAAAAAAAATGACAAAATCTTAATTTGCATTTTACCATGTTTTTAACATCAGAATAATCAGCACTTGGTTTACCACCGAAACACAATTATCTAAAGTTCTACAAAACATATCACAATTTATTTTTGGAAAACTTTTATTTTTATGTTAAAAATTAACTCTCTCACCTGTAAGACAGATGGGATGAATGAATTTCAAATATATGTCCACTATGTAGTATTTACTTAGTACCTCCTTTTACCAAGTAATACAAAAGGAAAGTGAGAGTCATAGAGCTGTGTTCAAGCCCTAGCTTTCCCACCCAGCAGCTACGTGACCTTGGGCAAGTCACCTGCCCTTTAGAGAGCTTCAGTTTCCTCTTTTGTAAAATGGGGATTCTACTCATTTTGTAGAATTGGTTTGAAGATGAAATGAGATTATAATTTTAATTATATATATTAGCTATTACCACTGCTACAATAACAATGCATGGGAAATTAGCAAATGACTAGAATTGTTTGTAAAGGCGTTTCCTAACAATTACAAAATAATTATATCAGTATTACCAAAGTCAGATTCTTTGAGATCAGTCAACGATTTATTGGGATTACTAAAGTCACTAGAAGAATATATATTTCATAGGGCTAATATACTGCTTACAACATCACTGTTGTGCTTCTCTCCAAATACTTTCCTAATAGTAGTTCAGGAAACATTTCCCAAATTACATAGTTCCTTAGCTAAAATGGAATTAGCCAAATATACAATCAAATCAACTACACACCAGGAATTTCTTTTCAAGTTTCTAAGACAGTCTTGTTTCTAAGCACACACAATAAAGCAATTCAAGTAATGCCATAGAGATTTCCTAGAGCCAATAAATGAAATTCTAAAATTTTACAGTAGTATAATATATTGGAGACTCCATCCTTCATTCTTTCCCAAAACTAATCCCAACCTAACTCACACATTCCTTAAATGGCTCAATACCCACTATGCAAAAAGTCCTATGTTCAGAACTAGGGGCATAAAACCTCTGTACTCAAGAGATAAAGACTCATATTAAAGATAAAAGGGCAAAGTTTTATTATCTATATTTGCCTGTGCTTCTGGTTTGATAAATAATGAGTCAATGGCACATGACCTACGGAGCTCATTTTCTCTTGGATGGACACCAATGAACTTACTTCCTATCCTTGGGCTGTGTAAAACATACAGCTGGAAATGAGATGTCATTGTCCTATGGCTTACTCCCAAAAGTTCTCAATGGCTCAACTCACCTAAGTCTTCCTCCTTTAACTTTCTTCCTCCACATCATGACTTTTGCAAAAATTTATGATGATTTTTAATGAGTAAAATGATCTGGAAAACATATTTTTTCAGTTTTTATTTCAATAAAACAAGAGGCAACACTGCTGTATAAAGTACTGCATAAGGACATTTACACAAATATACAAAACTTCAAAAAACTAAACTCCAGTTTATTTCCATAGCCTTAAAAATGTAGGGAGCACATAAAAATATGCAAAGTCATAGTTTATTCTTTAGGAATGTAAACTCCTGGAATACAATTAGAAACAAGTATATTTACTATGAAAAGATTAGTATCACTACAGGATTAGAAATAAAGATAAGCAGTACACAAAAAACCCTACATAAGAGAAAGCAAAGGTATGCAAAATAAGATCTTGAGTTTACTAAAAGAAACTTCATATTAAGACACAGATACTCTAGATCTCTACTATAAAAGAACACAAAAACATCTTCCAAAATGTTCACTGCTAGTCTTTTTAGATATGCACAAGTTACAAAATACAGAGGATAACATATTTATGTTCTCTGATAAAGAATTTAACAATATTAAACATAAATGTGAATAACTCAAGTACTGAGTATAATTTTACTAAGCAACTAATCTAAAAATATAAATTTCATGCTAAGTAAAGGACTAGAGAGTTTATATTTTTTATCCAAAGACTGGGAAGACACTATTATACATTTATTTCTATCTACAATGCTTAAGTGCCCATCAAATTATTCTTCTTTTTAATGGCTTTTTAAGAAACATTTTTTGTTACATTATTTATGATATAGATTTCCTTGATGTGCTTCCCTTTAACAAAGTGTAAATTTATTGTGCCTATAGAGTCAAATGTTAAACAGTCTTATTTTAAATATCTATTTAAAATTATGTCTCAGGGTACAATTTTTTTTCTCTATAATTTAAATGTAAAGGTTTTAACATTGTAATTTGAGTCTTCCAAAATAGGCAAAATCCCTTAAAACTGGTATCATTTTTATCTATTTTGGTTTAAAAAACATATTTCCCTTTAATTTTTTGTTTTGTTTACTAAGCAGTTGCTTCATAATTGAAAAAGGCAACAAAATACTGCTTTTTCAAAACAAACTTTGTCATCATTTAAGGACTGAGAATTTCTACCCTTCAAATCTACAGAGCTGCCTCAAAAAGTTCCATGGTGGAGTACAAGGGGTTCCAGGGTGCTCACCTGTCCTAGGTCCTCTGGGGACACTCCCTTGAACTTGATTCCAAAGGCAAGTCCCTACTCAATTCCAAAGGCAAATGCTGGGACCTACCTTCACTAGAATACCCCAGGTAGTTGAGTACTTGAAGAGTGAGAGGTTGGGTAATTTTAAGACTCCCTAATGGCTTAAAATGTGGAATGGAACTATAATTTTTGTTCAGATCCTTTGAACTATGGGGTGCAATTTCCCATTTGGGGCAGAATCCTTTTTGTGATAAAGATATAGAGGAGATCTGTGACCAAATGGTTACATTAGCATCTTTGTGAAAAAATGACCTAAAAAAGTCACCCCAACTTTAAAATCTGGAAAGCTGAGTAAGAGGGATAATTGTAATTGTTACCATAGTTAGCATTTATCCAATATTTATACTTGCTATAAAAATTTTCAAATGTATAACCCTTATTTGAAATAGTATCAAAGGTGCTATAAAATAATTTTACTGTCAACATAACTTCCAGGAAATCAACTCGTGGAAATTACTTGAAACAAAAATTCAGAACCACTCCACTAAGTAAGCCTTCAGAGTTCTTTAAAGAATATACACATGAAGATTTGTTGTGCATTGTATAAAACGGTGGTACCTCTTTCATACTTAAAATGGAGGCATCTACAGCTCTGATTCCATTTATAGTTAATATGAAAAATATAAAATGTTATAATTTTATTGTAAAAATAAATGAAAATCATTAAAAATTTAGAAGTAAGGATCTAATAAGTATCATAGACACTATTAAAAATTTATAAGCTATTAAAAACAATGAAGATTATAATATTTAGTATCTAACATATTTGATCTAGTGTTGTGAGACCACTGAAAATTCCAAATATTAGGTAGGTAATTTGTACTTTTGATACTCTCTTTTTAAACTTTAATGCACATAAAAATCACTTAAGGATCTTGTTAAAAGGCAGATTATGATTCAGGAGATTAAAAGTGGCTCTGAATCGCTTCTCGGCCTTTTGGCTAAGATCAAGTGTAAAAGTGGCTCTGAAATTCTACATCTTTAACAAGATGCCTAGTGATGCCAATGCTACTTACTGGTCCTCAGACTGTAGGAGTAGCAATGATCTAGAATAATACCAAAATGAGGTTCCATTACAGCAGTTGATCATTAAAATCTGATCTCTCATTTCTGCCAGCTGTTTCCTCAGATTTATTCTACAATGTTTCCTAAGCACTTGACTTGCTTAAAAGGCCAATCTTCTAAAATTAATTCTTAAGACTATTAATATTGTTAGTAGCTATATGCCTGAGGGAATTTTTTTGTTAAAGAATTAGAAAAAGACAAAAGGAAATTCACAGTGACATTTTACAAATATTTTAAATTGTACACAGGATTCCTGTTAAATTAATACAATATCAAGTTTCACGGTCTAGTCTTACCTTTTTTTTTTCTTTTTTTTTTTTAAACTACAGTTTATGGCAATAGATCTTATTCCATTTCTATTAGTGGAACTAAAAAACTCAAATTCACTTCTAATAAAAGCCATATTCTAGTCAAGATTAATGAATGAAAACTAGTTCATGCTTTTTGAAGATTTAAATTTAAAATGGTAGCCAAAGCAGTTATGATCAAAACTGCATTCATAGCGTATGCTTTAGCACTCTTTAGGACATACAAATTTTTCACATTTGAGCTCTGCATAAGCAGGCACAAAAGGAAAACTAACATTTTCTGTGCAACTACAGCTAGGGACTGTGAATAAGGAAACCACTGTGCATTAATAGTGAAGGAGACAAAGAGGGGACAGACAGGCCTTCCCTCCCAGTCAATTTACCCTTATCCTCAGCCCTGCTTTCTTTCTCTCCCTCTGAATTATTAGTTACATACACTTGATTTACAGGGAGCCTTGACCACAGCTAAAAGGATGAGCACTAGCAAATACTACATTTTACATCTATCTAGAGGTCACACAGTTCTCTACAGCTACATACAAGTTTGTTTTGCTTCTGCCATATTGCCTTTTTTGTTTTTATTTTTTGGTTGGGGGCAACTACATTGATTATTCTTTCTACCATGACAAGAACATTTAAACTAGGCCCGTTCACAAACAAATTATTTAACTTCTTTCATATTTTACAATTCTAAATTTAAGAGCACAAACATAAATAAACCTAAATTAATTACATAAATGTCCTTTGTCCATATTTCATTATGCTTTCTTTCATGACATTTTATAGATGAAAAATTTACCTAATTTCCTTCATTTGCTGACAAACAATTCAATATTATATGGTTGACGCCGGTGTCTTGAGAGCTGTGTTGCACGATTTACGATGATTTCCAGGAAGACTTCAATGATGTGTACTTTGAATTCTAGGAAACCAAACTACCTAGGATTTCCAAAGTCAAGCAGCAGGGTAAGTCAGCTTCATGGCTGATTACGTTTTAGGAATTGAAAGGGATTTTCACCTGCTCAATCCAGATCAAATACTTCAAAACAACACATCTACTGGCAATCTGATTTTTTATATAAAAATGTTCCAAAGATAACAACAGAAATCCCTCTACCCTTCCCCTGGAATTACATAATAGTCTAGGTACTGAGTTACGAGGCTTTTTCCAGTGCTTTATATAAATGATTCCACTAATCTTAAGGACAATCTGATTACAAACATTTTTATCAGGTACTTTTCATACACATCATTTTTGTTTTTTTAACATGCCTGATTTTCAGACTGCCCTGTTGTGCAGTCAGCTACAGAATTCCTGGAGTTGCACCCTCTGCCTCCTTTCAAAAACAGCTCCCATGCATGAGATTCCCTTTTACGCTGAAGGCCAAACATACAACTACCAAAATAGGAGTTATTAAAAAATAAGAACTCACAACCTCACGAGATGTCCCCAATTTGATCAGACAACTTGCCAAAATGTATTGTGACACTGACCATCTTAGACCATAGAAACAAATAAAGAAAAAAAAAAAAAAGACTCAAATCAAGGGGGGAAAATACACCCAAGAAATAACAGAACCACGTTTGACCTTATTACAACCTACACGTTATTCCCTTCATAAGGTCAAGGTAGCCTTTAGAATTTAAGACACAAGGGCTCCTGCCTGGGACAGGGATGAAAGATGCTGGGTGCTTTCATAAAGAAGCAGAGTCATATTTCTAGATTCACTAGTTAGGTGGGAAAACTATTACAAATTAATCTGTAGACAAGGTAATGCTGATACTAGGAGGTCTCTGCTGACCTGATGGATGCTTCACTGGAAGTTCAGTCCTTTCAGAAACGTAAATAAGCTTTTCTTCTTGGAGACTACAAGCAGAAAACCTATTGGCATCTGTCCCAGGCCCACAGCCAACAGCAGATGATGGGTTATGTGGGACTGTGACACCACTGACTTGTTCAAAGGATTTACTGAATACAGTTGCAGCTGTCTTAGCCAAACCATGGCTACAAGGTTTAGGCAGAGATTGGCTGGTAGTTAATGTCAGTCTCTTCAAAGAGAGAAGCTCAAGATTCTCACTTTGGGCTCTCTGAGTTTGTTTTCGGGCAAAGTGGTCTTTGCAAGACTCCCCTGTGGTTTCTTTTTCTTTTCCTCCAGTTTTGCTTCCTCCTGACCGTCTCTGAGTCTTTCCTACACTTGTCTTGTTACTAGAATTGTTACTACTGTTTGATAAACCCGATTGGCTAGTACTAGACGCAGCCCGGGAATAAAATCCCTCGTCAACTTCAGATATCTCCATGAGTTCTTCTTGACCTGTTAATTCTGTATTTCCTAAACAAAGAAATAATAAAGATTAATTAATATTAAGTATCTTAAATAATTCTTATTTCATGATTAATACCAAATCAATGATACTTTAAACTTTAGCATAATTACATAAAACAACCCATTATAGACCGAAATTAAAGGATAAATTGAAACATTGTATAAAATGTAAAAAATAGTTCATTGTAACTAAATAAGAGTAATTTAGAGTGTATTAAACAAAAAGCATGCCATAACACCCCCCACCCTCCATGTTTTAAGAAAGATTTCTCTTCCAGTTCATGCAAAAGATCAGAAACAATTAAGGAAAATATCACACAGTAAAACTAGGGGTAAAGTCTCCCCAAGTAGCAAAGCAATATAAAATCGAAGCTCTTACCAAGGAATTTTAAAAAAATGGTATTAAGATATTTTAAAGATTTTTTTAAAGGTTGCATTCTACATTCTAGATTATTTTACAAAGATGAAAAAAAATAGACCTAAGTATCACAAGTTCAAACTTGTTAAAATTCTATATACATTATCCTTCAAATCAAAGATGTTAAAAATATAAAGATAAAATATAATGTTAGATCTCAAAATATAAGCAGAAAATTACTGTGGAAGTAATCTTCTGCCTTAGTTTTTATAACAGTTTATTCAGAGAAAATATAGGTACGACCATTCCAAAGAGCATTAGATCATTGAGAAATTGTGGTGCATAATTCATGCATTTTGATTATTAGATGACATGCAAAATTTCTGTGACTGTGCAACTGTTGCTTAAGACATGCAGCAGTGGCCCTGTGCCATGAGATACCTTGGAGGGCAGCTAGAAAGTGCTCTGCTAAAACTGCACTCTGCCAGGTGAGTTTATTCCATCCTCCATCATTTTTCTTACAGATTTTTGCCTCCTGATCTCTGGCAAGCCTTTGCTCTCAGTTCTAGGATCTGTGGCTGTTTCCTGCACACCCTGTATATGCTGAGCATCAATGTCTCCTAGTGTTCTGCCTTTTTCCCCATTCCCGGTTCTCTCTCCGGCCACATTTGTGACACTAATCTCAGGAATGACAAGGATGCCCAATTCACTGGTATCATTACTGTTGTCAGGTTGCTCTAGAATTGAAGATGATAAGACAAAATGATGGCTGAAAACAAAACAAACTAAAAATGCAAAACAAGAAAAACAAAAGATCCAAAACAAAAATTGGACAACTGAATGTTATGAATTAAGCCAAATATCTGCACTGTGGAAATTTCCATAATTTTCGTTACTTTGACAGCACTGGAAACAGCAGGGTCATGTTCTTTAATTTTAAATGACAATGAAAAAACTCACAGAGCATCAACTCATGTTCTGCATTTTTTCACACACACATTTGACACGGACCATGAAACAGAAATTTTTTTGTAAATCAAAATAGAATTTCTATTGTTTAAAGATAGTATTGTAACCACTGGAACTTAGGTCAAGCCCTGGGCAAATGTTCCAGGATGTACAGCCAAAACTCTGGCTCTTGTCAACATTAGGAACCAAGACACCTAGGAATTCCCCTTGTACATTTAAAATTCTATTTTTTTAATTAAATTACAATGAGGCTGACCTAATAAACTACAAAATTGGGAAAATGATTATTCACTCATAATATCAAGGTTACTAATGCTGCAAGTCAGTTTTTATCTCACACACCAATCATTGTGTGTATTAGTAAATATTAATGCAGCTATAATACAATTAAATATTCTATTCCTTCAGATTTGTACTCATACCATAAATTTAGGCCAGCCTGTAACAGTTCATTACTAAGCTGGAGAAAAATAAAAATGGATTGGAAAAACAACTTGGCTGTTGGTCCTTTATTCTGAAAATAGCCATTGTAATCAAAACAAAGGAATGGAACTCCTAACCAGCTAAAACTTGTAAACATTTTATTCTGTGTCTTAAATCACAAAGCATGGCTTTATTTAAAGTTGCCAAGGAAATATCTGTAATAAATGGAAAAAAATAACATAAATATATCTACCATGGGTCATAATGAAAATTAAAGTTCAAAACAACACAAGACTATGTAAAACAGTACATGCTCTTAAAAAAACGTGGAACACAAATCTGTTTGAGAGATACTACCTACTACTTTCAAATGTTCCTCATGATAGGATTATCAAGCTCCCATTCATGGTGCTAAAGCATGTGAAACAATAATAGGTAGTAAAAGAATGGAGGCCAGAGCCACATACTCTTAAGGATCTCAAACTTTGCTACACACTGTTATCACCTGGGAGTCTTTAAGAACTACTCCTACCAGGCTCTCAAGCTAGACATTTTGATTTAATTAGTATGAGGTATGACCTAGACATTGGGATTTTTAAAAGGTCCTAGTGACTAGTGTGCAGCAATGTTTGAGAACCAATGCTCTATTCTAACAAATTCTTTCAAATTTTGAAAACTTAAAGCAAAAGTTATAATGAATGTCCTAGGTACTTCATACCCAGCAGCAATACGCACTTCAGGAGGTCCTTGAAGCTTCATGTTACCCTGGGCTGGAGGGCCAATGTGCTGGTATAATAATTTCCCATTTACTTAGAGCTTCACAAACCTCTGACTAGAGGTTCTCTAAATGAAATGTTTATTTCCTAAACAGGCCAAAGCATGTTAGTGAGGTAGTTTTACCTCCATGAGATTAAAAAATTCCAACAGGGCCTATTTCCCCTGGCTAATAGCTATCTTCAAAGTAAAGGCAAGTAAAAATCTGAGGTAAATGCCAGAAGCCACTGCAACTGAGAGTAAAATCATCATGGCGCTGTTGGGTGACAGGCAAGACCTGTCCATTTATGTTATAGAAGGTTTTTCACAAAAGATCTATTAAAGGGACTATCTAGTCCAAAAAAAATTGTGAACTGTAGAAATATCCAGACATAGCAAAGCCAATGAATACTAAAATTTAACAAATTTTAAAAGATATTCATTGGTGGCCTAACAGAATAAAAAACAACACAACTTACATTTGAACGGCAGTAAACAGCTTTTTTTTAGAGTATTTGGGTATATTATTCAATTATATTCTCTCCCATTTACAGACAAGGAAACTGAAGTTCAGAAAGAATTAACTATTCAGCGGGTGAGTTAACAGCAAAATCTTTTGACTCCAAATGTCAATTCTAACATACTATAGTCTAACTCTAACATATTATAGTCTAACTCTTCAATTCATTCGAAATCAATTTGAGTTAAATTCTCAGGAAAGTTACAGAATAAAGATAACTACATAACTCCAACATTTGCTACATGATTTTGCTCTCTATTTTTTCTCCAGTTTCTTCCCCCACATGTGACCCAATCCCCCTGAACACACTTTCTTACCAGTCTTGCTATTCCCTAGACCTGGAATGCTCTTCCCCACATAGCTACTTCCATGGCTCATCTCCTTACTTATTTCAGGTCTTTTCTCAAAAATCTCCTTCTCAGTGAAACCTTCCCTGATCATCCCATCAAGTTTCAATGTCCCCCATATTTCATACACTCTCTTCTCTACTTTGTTTATTCTCAGCACTTAATCACTCTCTAATACAATTATTTATTTATCATGTCCCATGAGGGCAGGGACTTTCTTCTGGTCACTCCTGCATACCTTGTACCTGAGAAAGTAGCTTGCATATAGTTGGTGCCCAATTAACATTTGCTTGATAAATTAAATGAATGTCCTGTTACATGGTGATATTATTAAAAACAAAAAAGGTGAAAAATCATGGAGAAGACATGACAAAGATAAACTAGGAAAGTGTTACCTGACTACATAAAAAGAAAAAAATAATATACAGCTTATGCTAATAAGAATTTTTAGATGGCAGAGAAAAGCAAAGTCTCTTTTGGAAAAGTGAAGTAGCCGCTTCTAAATGCAGGTTTAGTAAAATGCTTAATAATGTCCAAAATATACATTTTTTAAATTTACAGTTCAAAATAAATTATATTATGCTCTAGATAAAATAGCAAAGGAGAAGAAGTTAATCTTTCTTTAAGAAAATTAGAGAGGAGATGTTTTAAGGGAATAAAGGTATTAGAAAATAGAACATAATGTTTGAAAGCCCAGAATCTAATGTTAAATCTATGCAAAAAGGGGCATGGTTGTTCTATGCCTATAAAAAACAATACTTACATTTGACTTCAAATAATTTGAAAAGTTCAAAAAAGATCCAAAGAGAAACGTCTCAAAGAATAGTTTATTTGTATAACCTCTACAAACAGGTAAACTTCTCTCCACATACAGAAATAAGGAGAGTTAAAGAATACTTTAAAAGACATTTCCAAATTGGTTCTCAAAGGCACTCAAATCATTTTTCCCTAAAAAATTTCTTCCAGCTTTGAGAAAAAAAAAAAGGTAAAACAAATTGCAAATATCATTAAAACTGATCACGAAAAATTGTGATTTCCCTCATATGTAATCTTATCCCAAATATCTATCCCATTACATCACTCATGAAGCTCCTTATCCTAGCTATAGCTTTTTTTTTTTATGGCTTCCCTATTTACTAAAAGTGACAACTTAAATAAAGGAATATCATTTATCCATAGACTCTACACAGCTTTGTACTAAGACTACTTTGTAAGTCAAAAGGAATCTGGTTATGACCCAAGGCACTTACAGTATTTTATAAATATGTGTGAAAATAATAAAATAAGCCAAAGCTTTAAAAATTAACCTATCCTTTAAACATCTGCATCATGCCATTTTGACATTATGAAAAGTATTTTTGAGTAAGCTCTAAAATAAAGTGATATACATTCCTTTGCAATTTATAAGATATAAATATTTTAAATGTCATAATATATTTGAACAGCTTCATACCTTTTAATCTAGTCAGCTTATGTTTATAATTTATCCTATTCAGTAGAAGAAAAATGCTATCTATAGTCATTAAGCTATTCATTGCAGTGTTATCTATAATAGCAAAAAGTTAGAAACAAATTATTTAACATGTTAAGGAAATGGTTGAATAAATGATGGAATATCAAGTCAATGTAGTATTAT